GACACCGCGCAGCTGCATGCTGCCCCTCTCACCGTTTAGGGGTGGGTGTCTTGCTGTAGCGCGCAGAATAAAGATGAAGCAAGCCTTCCAGACAGGCTGGCAAGCAGTTCGTGTGTTTTGTTGTTGTTGTTGTATATGTTTGCTTAGTCCTTGGGGTTCCACTCTTCCTGCTAGCCGCAGCTACATATCTGATGGTGACGATCGGATCCCGCTGCAAAGCCTGACCGAACGCGCTTCCATTTCCATTTGCCATAATACTGCCAGCTTGGCATCTCTGTCGCACGATCCTGCTCCATCGCTCTCCTCCCACGTGATCCTCCCTCCAAGCTCGCTGTCCTCTCTGGGGCCCCTTCCAAGCATAATTCTGCTCTCTCGTGCAGCGAGCATTGGGTTCAGTCGTTCCTCTCTCATGCAATGCTTCCTCCTACAATGCCCACACCGCCGCGTACGCCAGCGTCTTCGCGTACGTGCTCACGCGCGAAACCAAGATCTCGCCTTCTGGGTGCTGCGAACTCGGGGCTGTCGCCATTCTCGAGGGGTCCCGTCAGAGCGACGTCGTGTGGGTACCCAAACGAGACATCGCCCTCCTTGGGCGCTTCCGATTGCGCACCCGTCGCCCCTTTCTTGATGGTGTGGCCTACGGGGCCCGAGTGAGAACTCGGCTCTCTGGGTGCTGCCAGCTGCGCAGCTGTCGCCACTTTCGTGGGTCTGTGTGAGGTCCGGCGGGCTGCGGCTCTGCGGGGACCCACGCGGGACCTCTCCCCTCCCTGGTTGCTGAAGCTCGCGCACCTGGCGCCGCTTCCGTGAGTTCCTGAGTGGTCCAAGGGGGATGATGTTTTTCGGGGGCTCAAACAAGACCCCGGCTCCCTCGGTTATGCCAAATGCGCACCCGTCGCCATCTTCCTGAGGTTGTTGGGTGTCTAGCGGAGTGAGTTCCCATGGGGACCCACACCATAACCCCCCCCCCCTCTCTGGGCTCTGCCGTCTCATGCCCCTTCCCCATCTGCGACGTTGTCCGCGTTTCCCTTCCGCGCCACGTCGTTTCCCTTCGACTTGCTGCAGATGGCCTCCTGGCCATTGGGCGTGCAGCTCCATATCTGCTACTAAGTGTGCGTAAATGCAGACATGCGTGTATACACACGCATATCTGTAGATGTGTACACATGCATACACGCATGCATGTATTTTCATACATATACACGTATGTGCATACATGAACTCATTTATACATGCGTTTGCATGCGTTCATATAGTTACATACATATATATGTATGTATGCGCAACCCATATATACAATATATAAACACGTGTATATATATATATATATGTGTCCACACATATCGAAGACCCCTACGGCGAATCACCGCCGCCCCCTCTACCTTTGGGAGTCTCCTATGTGGCCGAGCGTTGTGGCAAGAACTCTGCCAAACTATTGGACTATGTGCTCCCCCAACCGTTGTGGAAACCCTTCGGGGAACGCTTGGGGGAGGATGGCGGGGCAGTTCAGGAGGAGGACGGGGAGTTCCCCGGGCTTCTTCGCCATCGGCATCGCCGACGCCTCCACCCCTCGGCCCGCATCTTCTCCTGCTTGGATGACGTGGTTGCGGGGGTGCCGGCCGGTCTGGCGGCCCGGGCGTGCGAGATCGTGCAGGAGGAGCTGAGGACGGCCGGGCTCACGCTGAAGACCGCGACGACGACGGCGACGGGCGACTCCCAGTCCACGGCGCGACCGACGGAGCTCGACAAGACACGGCGCTTCCTGCGGCACTGACGGCAGCTGCGGGGCCACGGGCTGGCGGCTGGGGGGGCCCACGCATTCTTGCGTACGTGTGCGCTGGGCTGCGCTACCCACTTGCTGCGAGTAACTACGAGACCACCTGGGCGGCGCAGCTCGACGACTTCCTCTGGGGCGCCTACGAAGGGTTCGCTGGTTTCGCTGTCGACGTTTCGCAGCGCGAACAGGCCAAGCTGGGCTTGTCTGACGGGCAATGTGCCTTCCCGTCTGCTCGAAACGCGGCCGCGCGCGCCTGCTTGGGCAGCTGGGCCCTCGTCTTCCCAGCGTCGCCACGTGCCTCGGGGGCACTTCCGTGGAGAGCTTCCGATCCAGGTGTCCTCCGATTGCCCAGGGTATGAGAATCGCCGAAGCCGAGCTGGATGCCCAGGGGGCGAAGGAGGGGCCGATTGAGTGGGGGAGCTACTTGGCGGAGCCACGAGCCAAGCTCCAGGGTCACTGGGGCAAGCGCATTTCAGCGCACAAGCGGGGGCGGCTGCTACAGACTATTGGTGAAGACGACCGGCTTGCCCTCCGCGAGGGCAGCGCCACCTCGTCGGGAAGTTGGCTTCTCCCGCGCCAGGAGACGCTCACTTTCACGTGGGGCTACGCAAGCGCCTCGGGCTGACGTCTGCACCCTAGGGGCGCCCTGCCAGCACCGCAAGCGAGACGGCTCAGTCTGTGGTGCTGCTCTGGACGCCAAGGGCTGGCACTCCCTGAAGTGCGGCTGCGGAGGCTCTCGCGACCACTGGCGCAACAGCCTCCGCGGTTGGAATGCGCTCTTCTGCCAGGCGCAGACCGGCCACGTGGCGGTCACCGAAAAACGAATCCCCGCTTGGGACCGCGTGGGCTCCAGCCCAGGGGAGCTGGAAGAGGCCCGCCTGGACTTGGCGACCCGCGACGCGGCCACCGGACAGCTTATTTACGTCGATTGGTCTGTCACCTGCGCACATTCAGACAATCTCGAGCGCAGGAGGGCACGATCCAACAACGACGGGCTGGCTGGCCGCGTCGTACGCTGTGGGCGTCAAGCGGAACTGCTATCCCCCCTCGGGAGGCGAGCTGGTCCTGGCCGTCTTGGAGTCGGGAGGACGGCTGGCGGATGAGCTCGTCTCGTTCGTCCGCTCCTACGGCGCAGACCGTCCCGAGGCGGACCGGTCGGCTGTCATCGCCACCGCGTGGCGCCGCATCCAACGTACGCTGGTCGTGGGCAACGCGGAGATGATCCGTAGCGCCTGCCGGGCGCCCACGGCGCAGGCTCGCGCGTCGACGGGGATGTGTCCGCGGGGCGCCGCCGGCTCGTCTCCATCGGCGGCTCCCACCCGAGCTCTGGGCCTGGCGGGAGGGGATCTCGACCGGCGGCGCTAGCGTCGCTGTCGGCGGCGACCCACCAGCGCGACCGCAGCGGCGGGAACGCCGCCCTGGCACGGCCACCACTTCGTCCACCAGGGCCATCCCGACAACCACCACGACCTCCGCAACCGCAGCGACCATCACGACCCCCACCGCGGCGACAGCCACCACGACACCCACCGTCGGCGGCCAGCACCGCCGCGACGTCCACGGCGATCCGACGACCGCCCCCCGCCCCCCGCCTCTTCCCTTCCCCCCGTCTCTTCCTTCCCCCCCGCCTGGCCGCCCTTGCATGCTGCTCCAGGTCTGTTCTGTTGTAATTTACATGCGTTCCTACTCGCATCTTTTGCTTAATTATGTTGCGTTAGGAGGGACCCGGGACCAGAACCCCAACGCCGAGGGGTCTCCCTTGGAGACGGGGGTGGGGACCCACTCGGGTGCCCCCGGTTTTTTTTGAGAGAGGAGGAGGAGGAAGATGAGGAGGAGGAGGAGGACCACTGGAAGCCCAAGAGTCATCAACGATGTTGGAATTAACCCTCCCTCCAAGCTCCCTCTCCGTAGGCCCCATACAACGGGTCATTTCCATTGAGGGAACTGCCTCGTTGGAGGGCAACAGTTCGAACATCCTGAAGCGTGCCAAAACATTGTTCTCGGGATTTCAACGCCACGTCTCAACCCGACTTCTTCGGCGTCGATCCAGAATCGTGCCGGGACGCCAATTTTGGGATTTCAACACAGCGAATCAACATACTTGAAGCGCCCGCATAATCCTGAATCCTTCCAAAACACCACTTCTGGTGCGGTGATCATGGGAATCCGTGAAACTCTTGCAACGTTAAAGAACGAATGTGCGCGAAGGCGAGATCCACATCTTGAAAACCACCCGCCCTCAATCCGTGAAGCTCTTACAAATTGAGAACATGGATGTACACGACGCTAAGGCGAGAACCACATTTTGAAAACCACTCGCTCTGAGTCCATGGAACTCTTGCAACTTTTTATGACGACTGTGCGCGGCGCTCAGGCGAAAACCACATTTTGAAAGCGATCCGCCCTCATCTTTTAAGCTTCAGAGTCGTGAGTAGTGAGGAAGTCTCAGGCGAAACGCCCAGCCTGCCCTAAAAACTGGCCTCCGGGTGCGACAGGGAGGAGTTATCTGTAAGGAGAAGGAATGGAGGAGGAGGAGGAGGAGGAGGAGGAGGAGGAGGAGGAGGAGGAGGAGGAGGAGGAGGAGGAGGAGTGGAGGAGGAGCATAAGCAGGAGCAGAAGCTGCAGGAGCTGGAGCAGGAGGGGGGAGGAGGAGGAGGGGAGGAGGAGGAGGAGGGAGGGAGAGAGAGGAGGAAGAGGAGGAGAGGGATAAAATGGAGGAAGAGGAGGGAGGAGGAGCAGGAGAAGCAGGAGGGAGGAGGGAGAGAGGAGGAGAGGAGGAGGAGGAGGAGGAGGAGGAGGAGGGAGGAGGAGGAAAAGGAGGAGGAGGAGGTAAAGGAAAAGGAGGAGGAGGAGGATGAGGAGGAGGAGGAGGAGGGCGAGGAGGAGGAGGAGGAGGAGGAGGAGGAGGAGGGCGAGGAGGAAAAGGAGGAAAAGGAACAGGAGGGTGTATCTTGGGAGCCTCTGGGAGCACTCCAGGGGCCTCTTGGGAGCTTCCTGGGAGCCTCTTGGAGGCATCTTGGGGGCTTTTCGGGGGCCTTTTTGGCCGTCGTGGGGTCCTCTCTGGGCCGTCTTGGGGGCCTCTCTGGGCCGACATGGGGCCCTCTTGGGGTGCTCCAGGGCCGTCTTGGAGGCCATCTTGGGCATCTTGGAGGCCTCTTGGGCTGTCTTGGGGCCCTCTTGGGGCCATCTTGGAGGCCTTTTGGGCCGTTTTGGGCCATCTTGTAGG